TGTACATTGAATTCTTGTACAAAAATATATCTTTCCCATGATTCCTGAAAATTATAAAAATAATAAAATATTATAAAATTATTGGCACCAATAGCTGACACTATACAAATAAGCCACAATATTCGATAGTATAATTTTTTAATTTTGCGCGCTTCAAAAGATAAATAATAAGCATTCAAAATTAAAAAAAAAAAAATAAATAATTTCTTAGAATCCACAATACCCTTCGTTCCCCTAATTGCAAGGAAAAACAATGTTGTCACCATTAGGCTATTTTATTAAAAAAGATTTACGAATATCTTAAAATATGTTTTTGTTATTTATGGGTTTTTAACAATTATAATAAAAAAATGTTGTGGAAAAACATCATCGGACTTCTTCACCGCGGTCACTGGGATATGAACGTTAGAAACGGCCTCATGCTCAATAAAAATTGTTGAGATCTTAAAGTATTTTTTACCATTATTATCTTAAACTAAGTGCATATTAATGCTAAAGTTAAAAAATATGAATATCTATTAACTATTCACTCACAACATTACTCAAATAATGATTTAATAAAATTTGCCGAGAAGAACTATTAAAATATTTTAATTTGCGCTTTTTGCAACTGATCTATTAATGTTTTACGTTTTCCGCCACTTAAAATAATTTCTTTAATGCTTCCTAACTAAACTACATGCACTTCATAAATTTTATAATTTTGCACAGGCGCGATTTTAAAATTTTTCTCTTCCTTATCAACTTTTTCCTCAAAATTCACGTCATCTAGTAAAACAAAGGGCAATTTTTTTCGTTGAAGTCTGCCATCACTTGTGCCGCGATCACTCAATCCTCGTGAGCTAATTCTTAAAAGCTTATTCCTTTCATTGCCATTTAATGTATTTGTGGTGGTGTCCGATGCGATTGAATTTGATGCGGTGCCCATACCATTTTGTAAACCTGCCAAAACTCCCTTTATGAATTCGGTACGTATAACAGTATCTGCATCCGTCTCATCGGAGAGATAAGAAGATTGTTGTCTCGAGGGTATGGGAACAGCAGCTAATGATGGTGTTGCATAAGGCGGCGGCGGATATAGCGGTAAAAATACTGGATACAATTCTGGTGCGACATCATCGGCTAAATTGGCATTATTTAAACTGTAACGATCTGCAAGTGCCGATGATGTGTTATTAGTCGCTAACGCTATCAACTCATCTGACTGTAATCGAGTGAGTAGTGGTAGAAGATTAAGCCAAGAAAGTGTTTTTGATTGGGCACCAGTTTTTGCTGCTTTAAGTGGTATACGTCCACCAAACGAACGCGGCGCTAACAACGCGACTGAGCACAAAAAGAGCACAATTTTATGTAAATTAGTCATTTTTCATTAGAAGACTGAAAGTGAGGAACTAAAAGTAGCTGGCATGGGTAGAGTGGTATTTATAACAAGGTATACGAAGAAAGTTTTAAAGCTACTAATCCACTTGAATTCTGTTTTTTTTTTGTTTTTGGTTATTTTGTTTACAAAATTAATTTAAGACGAACCTGTTAAAAGCCCATCGACTCCTGTATATCATCTAAGAGTATTACCAAAAAAAAATAATAAAAAAAAATGCAAATATTTCGCTAAATGTAGGAACGTGGTGGCAGATATTTGTATAGTACATACACACATATGTACGTGCTGATATGCGCAGTGTTTATAAAGATTGAATGCTCGTTAAAATTTCGTTAGGCAGACGTAAGAATCTATAAGAAAGGTTTTATGTTATTCAAAAGTGTCTAATTCACTTTATTTCAACATAAGAAGAATATTAAAGTCTACTCCTACATATATCCAATTATAAAAAATCGTAAAATATGAAATCTTAAACACTTGATAGCATGGTAGAACTTCGTAAATATTTATTTGCGTAAACAAAAAGTCTCTAGGTAAAATTCGAAGAAAAACTAACAGTGCAATTCTGGCAACTGCCTCTCACCTCACCTCAGTCTTTCAAAAACAAACAATAAAATCTAGATTTTGAAAGAAAGTTAAATTAAAATAAGTAAAAAATTCAGTTCAAACTAGTAAAAAATTGNATAAAATCTAGATTTTGAAAGAAAATTAAATTAAAATAAGTAAGAAATTCAGTTCAAACTAGTAAAATTCGACAAGGCCTTACCCAAATTTCGAGCTTTTTAATTAGATTACTTAGAAAAACTGGGAGTATGCGATTTTTACTTTAATAAAGTGCATTTTGGATTTGTTAGGGATTACCGTTGATTTTTGATTTCTTTTTTTTTTTTGTTGAAGGTATGATCATTTTCTCCATTTAGAAAAATTGACGAACATACATAGGTATGTGCATGTCGCTCATTTACTTCAATAATGTCATAAATATAACGCTATCTCGGTAATGCGGGCAGCCAGAATCCTGAGGCAATCTAGTATTTCATGTTGTTTTTTAATTGTTGGTGTTTTGTGAGCTCGTTTTAGCCAATTAATTACTCATATTTTACTAAAAGTATACACTTTTCCTATTTTGAAGTCCATCTGTTATGACAACCAGTACAATAATAAAATACTACGATTGACATGTGCTGTCGAAATTCGATCGTTTTTTAAATGAGCCCGAAGATTTTTTTTCCGTATGCAACATTAATGGACATAAATCAAGATAAAAACGAAAAATTGCCGTGATAATTTTTTTTTAAAGCATACCTCTCATATAAAGCAAATCTCAAAAATGTCTTAAAGCAGGTTCGGTCTCTGCTATAGCTGTTATTTTTTTAATCGAAGTTATAAAAGTCCGAGGCAAAATATTGTCGTAGTAGAAAGTTATCATTATTCCTTTGATCCCAGGACCTCCAAGACAATATTCCTGGTTTATTTTTATTTTTGGAACTGTTACGAAAAAAGCCCAATAATAACTTAAAATTTCGTATTTTTATTTTTTGAGTCCAGTAATAACAGTTAAACTGAGGAAAATATTTCTAAGGTCGAAATAAATGTCCTTTCCTAATAATAAACAAACCACTTATCCCAATTACACAAATTTGGTATCAAATGAAAGAGCACTGAAATAGCTTCCAAAAAGATTTATCAACGAAGGTTTTTGCCTATTTATATTTTTTTTTATAATGCAATACAAAAGAAATTCAAATACCTGACCCAAGGCTTGTTATATGGTAATTAAACAACATTTTGAATTGCAATATTTTTGAATAGATGGCGGCCGTTGTGGTGTAGTGGTTAACAGTGCGAGCTATTACTCCGCAGGGCCTGGGTTCAAGCGCGGTTCAACGCAACATCAAAAAATTAAAGAACAAATTTTTTTTCTAATAGCACGTAGTGTTTCGCATTTTTTCCATATAAAGAATTTTCGTTTTTTTTTTTCTTTTGTAAGGAAGAAACTGCGTGAAAAATAATTGCCAAAAATCAATGGTAAGTCCTAGCTACCTCGAACTTGCACATTGTTGTTATAAAATTATGTGGACTAATAAACTGGCATACTCGAATAAATTCTAAACGACCTGATAAAAAAGTTGGAAGCTTTGCATGAATTTTTTTTGAATTTTCCTGAGTTTTGTACAAAGTTTAGAAACTGTATTTTTACGGGTTTTGTTGTAGTATGAACCGAATTTTTATAAAAAAATTATCGGAAAAAAATAAAAATTCTTGCATATAGGTATTGTAAAAAAATTTCTGTGCCAATACTTTATTCCGGCAGTGTAGTTAATCCACTTTTTCTAAGATCTTTAGTTGAAAATAGTTTTTTTTTTATAAGACTTTATTGCAGAAGCTGCAGCCACAGAACTGTTCCGAATGCTCCAACAATAGTCAGCCATCATGATGATAGTGTTCCTCCATATACATATTTATAATAAGCGACGTCAAATTACTAAACATCATTCATCAGGCCAAAAGTGCAATTTTGTTGTCCAGTATAATTACTTTGGTGTGTTTTTTTGCTTCTTTGAATCTAAAAAAAATTATTTTCAAGGTTTTAGTGCATTCAAAAGTTTTTTTTTTTTCTTAACTGAACTAGAAATTAATGCCTACTTATTTATGCTTTTAAGATAAGCGTATACAAAAGGCTGCTATTCTTCTTTCTTTATCTTCAACTTTTTAAGCGAAGACAAAGAATTTCAATCAGCATTGGTAGTTTTTAATACAAAGTCTACACAATAGTGGAACAAACAAACAAAGCTGACAAACGGATTTAGTTCCATGTTCTATTAATGGACGGTTTATTGATAGAGAGACCGCTAAATTTTTATGGCAAATATTTTGTAGAGCAATTCTTATGTTTGCCATTTACATATTTGCGTATATAAATAAGTGACATTTCTAAATTCGATTCACAAGTTGCCACACAGCATTACTTATCACCACTGTAGCTGAAAAGGCGAAAATGTGGTACCAATTTACGCTTAACACATTTTTAGTAGCGCTTCTCCTGAATGCCGCCGTCGGAAGCAAAAATGTTCGACATGTGCCAAAAGAAAGCAAACTGCAAAGGCAAGTATTTACATTGAGAGAACTGAACAATCAACCGAGCAATGATGAGACAGTAATCCTCGAAGCGACGGACTTTGGAAGCTCACGTGATTTGGGCGCCCTTTTGATGCTAAAAACAACCACACCGCGGCCGTATGATGATCACCATCACCACCACCACCATCACCATCATGATAGGCCACCAGCGAGTAGACCACCAAAACCGCCACCACCACCACCTCCACAGTATTATACGGATTGCGAACATGATGACTATGCAGATTGTTATGATGAAAAACCGCTTGTGCAGTATAAGCCGCCTATAGAGTATAGGCCACCTGTGCAGAATGGGCCACCTCTGCAGTACGGGCCGCCTGTGCAGTACCGGCCGCCTGTGCAATACGGACCACCTGCGCAGTATGGGCCGCCTGTGCAGTACGGGCCGCCTGTGCAATACGGACCACCTGCGCAGTATGGGCCGCCTGTGCAGTACGGGCCGCCTGTGCAATACGGACCACCTGCGCAGTATGGGCCGCCTGCGCAGTATGGACCACCAGCACCTGCTCCATATCCATCATATTATGGACCCCAACAATTTTACTACCCTCCACCTTTTTACTATCCTTCACCGTTTTTCCCACCATTTTCCCCATTTTTCAATCAAACATTTTTCCCGGGTAATTCCACCGGCAGATTCCCAGGAGTCTTTCCAGGTAGATCTTTGCAAGCGGATAACGATGAACTTGTATATCTTGACGAGGAACTGGATTAAAAGTAATTGTTGTATTGAAATATTTCATGTTAATAAATTTTTACGGTAATCTACAAACTTTAAGAGTGCTTTTCCTTACAGTTCATGGTTTTTTACATATACATTACTACTGTCAAAATTTATTCAAGCAACACTAATGTTGATAAATTTCATTGCTGTGTTCGTTATCAGCAATTCGGATCTTCTTCATCTGCATTGGATAGTATTACGTGTGAGTTTCAAGTGGCTAGAAAATACCATTGATTTGTTGACGATGCTACTTAAGCATTCCCTTCCATATACAAATTTTCGGGAAAAAGTGAGTGACACCGTCAGCAAAAAAAAGTTTTAAAAATCAATCGTATTTTGTAGCCAATTGAAACTTGCACTAAAATTGAATGGGCTACAAAATTGCATACCAAAAATTTTTCTAAAAATTCAGAAAAAAAAATTGAAAATTTGTTCGAATTTTCATAATTTTTGTTAAAAGATTGAAAGGCGGATTTATATAATGTTTATTGTGTAACTACCTAGGCTTTTATAAAAAAAAAATATTAAACATAAAATAAATTAAAGAAATATAGCTTAAACTCTTTAGGGTACGACGAGTTTATTATTTCTGCCGCGGGTGTATACATAAACGAGAAAGTACGAATAAAAGTAGAAAAGTAACGCCAGAAAAAGCACACTTTCACCTTCATTTGCTTAGGTGAGGTCAGCATAAACAAGAAGAGAATTAGCATTTTTAGTTTTACTTTAGCGATCGATCTTCATGCTAGCAATAATATCAATACGACTGGTTACTTTCGCTTGTGTTCGCTTAGTTATAGTAAAACATACAAAGTTGTCAGAAAAAAATGTACATCCTAGTACTTTTGTTAGCAGTGACTCAGTGTCATGTAAAAGCAAGTATTGAAACTGATAAAGAATTCCTGCGCCACCTTTTAACGTTGTCCGTGAGTGAACTCAAAGATGAATTTCGTGTCAACGAAGTAAAGAGTGTCGAACAGCGTTATAATGGCAGTGAAGTTACACCGCCTAATAGCTACAAACTAGCAATTTTTTCACCATTTCTTATTGGACTAGCTTATAACTCGACAGCGCCAGAGCAACGACCGTGAAAGGAGAGTGAAACCGAGAGAGAAGAAAGCGTGAAATGAATTGTCGCAGTTATTGCAATCTGTGCTTATTATACATACATAGTGTGTACATATGTACTAGCTAAAAGTTCACGAGCTTTCAAAAAACCAGATTTTTATATATACATATGTACAACCATTTATTCCTTTATATGAAAAAAAAGTAAATAAATGCAATTTTTTAAGGTTCGTTAAGGTCGAAAAATAAACTAAGACGTAATATCTTTATTTTCTAGTTTAAACATAAAATTCTTTATTAACTTTCATTTTCATTTCGTCCTTTACTTCTAAGCTTATCGACTAAGTCAGTTTATTTGCTGAATTCATTACAATCCAAAAACACACACACACATCAATCCATACATATACACACTAGGGTGAACAACAAAAAAAAATGTTAAGCTCTCACCACCTCAGGTTTTTCTAAATGGGGTAAAAAATACCAAAATTTGTTATTAAAAAAAATATATTTATAAATTTATATTTTATATGGGGAAAACACTTTTTTTGTAGAAATCGTATAGAATTTTTGAAAATCAATATTTTTCGATCGGAAAACTCGGTTGCTCTTCCAATACTAACGATTTTGTGCGTCTACCCACTGCAATTTTTTGGGTTTTTAATAAACAAAAATATACCGGGTGTTTTTTTTATCTAAAAAAAATCCTGAGTGTGAGAGCTTAACATTTTACACGTTTTCTCCCACAGGTAGTATTTTTGTACCGCCCTAATAAACACACATGCTTACGCTTATTGCACACATGCCCGCCAATGCCCACTTAGTGGTCATCAAAGTTGCTACTTGCATCCGCACTTAACTTTTAAACGCCTTCGGCCACTTCTGGTTGGACATTTTGCATTTCCTCTGATTTCCGCGCGATTTCCGTCACCATCAAGTAATCGTGTATGGCTGTGTGTGTGTGTGTGTATAGCACGCGCACCGAATGCAGTGCCTCACTAGCGAGAATATACCATTCAGATATGTTCTAATTTCCGTCGTTGGCAATGTATGCCACCAATTTGTCGTTGTAATATCCGTTTTCGAAGCTATGTCAGCAGCAACATACATACATACATATGTACATTGCATTAAGAACGTTTGTCGNGCCACCAATTTGTCGTTGTAATATCCGTTTTCGAAGCTATGTCAGCAGCAGCATACATACATATGTACATTGCATTACGAACGTTTGTCTTGTTTGGTTTAGTGTCACTTGCGACAGCAGCCATCATATCAGCAGGAGAAAGAGTATAACATCATCCGCTTCAACATCAGCAGCAACCCAATTCACATCCGCCATATTGGCAACATTCATAGCGGCAGCAGCAGTTACATCACTGCTAAGTTTTCATCGCCTTCGTCATGCACGCCATCGTCATCTGCTTCATCACCGGGCGCTATTATTGGTATCCGTGTCTTTTCCGCTGACATTTTCTAGCTGTGTTGATTTTGTCTCGATTTTCAATGGTTTTACAACAGCAGCTCTATCATTCTATCCAGCAGCTGCTCACCCGCCTTATTGCTTCTGTTCGTAGTGCAACTTATCATTATCGCTTAGAACGTTGTCATCGCTTGGCCTGTGCAAGTGTGACATTTGCGACGCGCCATCAACAACATCGATGGTTTGTTGCATCAATGCCAACACGATTGTCGCTGCTGCCAGTATGCGCTGCTGCAGCTGCTGGTGCTTCAAGTCGAGCATTGCCGCTATTATCCGCAACATAATCACCGGTCACATATTTATCAGCAACAACAATGTAAGCGTTTCCTCTGGAATCGCCCTCAACCTCCAACTCAAACTCATCCTTCTCCTCCCCACCATCATCATCCCCGTTATCATCATAACCGCTGTCAGTTGAATTAGTATTTTCACTATTGACGCTAGATGTCACGCTGCGCGTCTTTGCATAAATACTCGTACCATCCTTATGTGCCACTTCGCTTTCGAGTAGCTTTCTAGTGCTGTACTCGTATGTTTTGCCATTATCTGTTTCTAAACTGCTTGTTGATTGCTCAACTGCTGCCATTTCAGCTGCATGCCTCACATGGCTTTGAATGCCTTCAACAACGAACAATGATGCCGCGCTGTCGCTGTCGGGCTCCACCATCAACATCAATATCAACATCGACATCGACATCACCATCACCATCATCGTCAGCAACACCATCAAATTCATCATATGCAGCATGGTCATTTTCATTGTCGCTCTCCTCCGCACCTTCAGCACTGCCAGCCTCATAATTCTCATCACTCCCACAATCATCATCAACAACAGCGACAGCATTGACCACACCTTCATCACTACTTTCAGCATCCGCTTTGTAACCACTACTGTCCATTGCATTGCGCCGCCATGCGTTCGTCACCACAGTGCCGTCTGCAGTCTTACCCTCCTTGCGCTTTTGTTGTGCAGTCTCTACTTTTGGTACATTTGAGCTGTCATCGGCACTTGTAATTGTCAACTGTTCACTAGGTTTTATTGTTTTCTCTTGCGCATTGTCAATTCCATCACTACCGATGGGTATTGTTGTCTCTGGCTGTTTGCGTCCGTCGATGTGACAGCTTACCGTATAGCTTACCGATCGTCCGAGCAGCATACGTCCGTGTATTGCTGGTTTTTCATCTTCGCCTTTCATTTCAGCTGCAGATTCAGCTTCAGGTTTAGTTTCATTTCCATCTGCATTTTCATTTGTTTTGCTGTATTGTTCACTTTTAATTATCTCCGTTTGGCTGCATATCGCTTCCGGCTTCTGCACTCGCATTGGCACCCTTTCAGCCGCCTTTACATCTACCGCCACCCCACTCAGCTGGGGTCGGCGTGATAATCCAGTTGCTGAAGTTTTCCTAGTCGACATGTCATCTGTGATCTCTGCAGGCAATTCGACGTCGATGTGGGGCTGATGCTCTTGCTTGTGATGCTCATAGGAAGCGTGGGAAGTTTCCACTTGCGCATCATTAGTTTTGTCTATATTTTCAATTTCCTTTCTTACAGCGTCTACAGAGTTTTCAATTGCCACTTTCAGATGCTCTAAATAGTTTGTTTGCTCATTTGCAGTCGGATAGCAGTCTTGCCGTAATGATAATGCGGTTGCATCAACTGCAGGCTCACTTGTTGTTTCACATTGTTTTCGATGGCAGCCTGTGGTTTTAGTATTTACAAATGCTTCATCTGTGCGTGAAGCGTAATTTACTTCTGATTCACTTTCGTTGCTTTTGTTCGATTGATGATATGCAGCAAGTGACGTTTGGTGGTCAATCGGCATAGGAGTAGGTATTTTGAAAGCTTCATTATTAGCGTACGCTTCGTCGCATTCGTCTTCGCTGTACTCTGTAGATGTGATTTGGCTAGAGCTTTCCTTCGCACTCATATACTCAATTGAGCTTTCGTCTGTGCTTTCACGCTCCTCTGAGCTAATAAGCGAGTCAATGGTAAACTTGGCTTGACTTTGTAAGATTGCATAGTCGGAACCATAACCATTATCTGCGGCATATAGCTCATCACTTGTTGTAACATCCATCGCAGGATCTGGTCTTTCATGCATTTGATTGACTGCTTGAGTTTTCAGAAAATGCATATTATCATTCAACTTCGTGTGCTCTACTGATGCAGTACTCGTTCGCTCTTCTGGCGTAATCGCATACTCAGACAATAATTGTCTCACCACACTGGAAATGGGTATGGAGTACTCAACGAAAATTTCTTTTAAGCGCATAAGAGCATCATCCAAGCTGGCTGCTTTTTGGGGTGAAGACAATTGCGCTTGCGTAGCATAACTCATTGGTTTAGAGACTATTAGGGAGGAGGCTGTAGGGGATTTATTTGAGACTGAATATTTTGAAATGGCTTCGATGCCCACATCAGGCACATTGGGAGCAGCGG